TATTTTTGTGTAATGATGCTTTTCATTTTCATCAGCATTACCCTTACTATTTTGAAAAGAATATACTCTTAATAGCAACATAGACAATTTATTGCATCCTACTGAGCCTTGTATAATAAAAATAATAAAATTATTCTGTATAATAAAAATAGTAACAGTATACCATGTGGTTGTTTGGCCTTCAGTTTACTATTTTAACTGTTCTTGGTTTTAAGGCACATTTCTCAGCATTAGTAATGTTACCTTATGAATGTCTGGATCATTAAACAGACTAGTTAATATAACAGGACACTGACAGGTTATCATGCAAGAAACACACTTAAGAGGATGCCATAACATATATTTGTAGATAACATATATTTGTATGTTTATTATGACAATTTTCCTGTAGACAGCAATAAAGTGTTTTGTTCTAATAAAACCAGTATGGCCAAAAGTAAAGTATCTTGAGAAGGGGCACACAGCAGCACTGTCTAGGCTACAAGTTAACTTGAATTGACAGTGAATGTTGAAACAAGAGCACAATGGTTGTCCAAATCACAATAGACCCAGTACACGTAAACAGCAAGGTCACATGAGACCACTCAAGAATCACAGGTATATTGGTTTATCAGCTCAAATTGCACCTCCCTGTAGCAACAGCATATGCAAAGTTTAGACTTGGTCTGCCAGGTTTGAGATGATATTTAACACGATCTGAGGAGAATTTGCTTTATTTCAACTTTGGGGCATCAAGTGATACTTTGATTAAGATTTCTATAATTTACTTTTCAAATGTGTGTAACCCAATGTTAAAATGTGATTGCATTTTCAGTAGACTAACAGGGAATTCGATATGGGAGCTATTGAGAAGTCAAAAGAGTGCTTAAATAATAGAGTGCATGTACCGTCTGTCAATCATCTGGTAGCATTTCTTCATCCAGCCCAGCCCTGGCATCTTCCGTCTTGGGGTTGCTCCATTCAAGTACACAATCATGTAGTCTTCAGCTACCATCAGCTCTAAAGTACTTATTACATATCTGATCACAGGAAGGAAGAGGCATGTTTTCAGTTCCCACATCAAATAGTTCATCCTATTTACACCATAATTACATAACATTTAAATTACAGGGTGTATGGCAATTAAGAATGGTTGTGCATATTACCTCATCACTTTGAGAAGAATGCAGCTACCTAAGATTATTTCCTTGAGAGTGATCATTGCTCATTTATTTGTATAGTTATCTCTTTTTTTTTTTTTTTAAATTCAGGTACATGAGAAAAAAGTGTAGGAGAGAAACTTGACTTTCAAAGATGTCAACAACATTATCAAATACAAAGGGCAACTCAGACTAAATAAATAATATATATATATATAGAAATTAAATAAACAAAGATAAAGTCAGGTTATCAGTGGTTAACCAAGAACATGTTATCAGGGAACAAAGGTAATATTTCCCCAAAGGAAATGTTGCAGAATTTTAAAATGTAGGCCAAACTCTGACCATTTTGTTATCAGTCTAAATAAATGCACAGAAGAGCTCCTTCAAAGGTTTCAGCCCCTTGAGCAATGTTTCTTGACAGAAATCTTACTGGCTTTTTATCAAAGGCTTAGAATAGTCTACATCATCTATTTCCTTAACTAAAGATGTTCTATCTGCCATTACATGCCCACAGATGTTAACTCAAAGCTCTTTGTTGTAAATATCACTCACAGGAAAAGATTTTCCATGACATAGTGGTAATCCGCCCGACTGCTGTCTGGCAGAAAACAGGCGGCAAACACAATGATGGCATTTAGACCGTCCCCATAGTATCCTGGGGGACAAACAAAAAGACATTTGTAACTGATGAAAAGCTCTTAACAAGGTAATATCTCTTTTTTTTTCGGTGGTTGGCCAGTACGGGGATCCAAACCCTTGACCTTGGTCTTAGCGGTAGCCATCTGAGCCAACCAGCAGCCCCTTAGCTGGGAATATCTAACCTAAAGGATAAATCTGAAGCTTTGACAAGTGTTTGTATGTGGATAAAACAGCTATATCATGAAATGAACATTACACGGACTATAGTTTTATATGTATTTACATATATAATTATCTTTCAGTGGTTAACAAATCTATAGAGTCTTATATGGTGGGAATATGTTTGTGTATATAGGGTATACATATGTCATGGGTGATTACATGTGTTGTACGTAGCTGTAAATGGGATATATAAATACTCAACTTATCAAAGAATGAGAGGGCAACACTTTTTGACTTATGAGTTTCTGTACAATACTAACTTATATAATGAAAAAGCTAATCTATGTAATGCTACCTTCTTTTAATGGCTAAGAAAGAGGTTCTGTTTGCTTCTCTTTAGCTCTGTTTAGTTTTACACTCTGGTTAATTTGAAGGGAGAATTGAACCACTGCACTGCAATGTAGTCTCAGACCCACAGACTCCAGTGACCAGATACTAGTGAAAAGATGAGTAAAACACCTGTAGTGGATTGAGTTATGTCCCCCAAAACTCACTGAGGCTTGAATTGTGAACTTGTCCCACCCAAGTTTTATGTATTAGGAACTTAGCCCCCACTGTGACTGTTAAGAGGGTGGGAAATCCTGGGCCGGCCCGGTGGCGCACTGGATAGTGCGCCGCTTGGGAAGCGCAGCGGCGCTCCCACCCGAGGGTTCGGATCCCACATACAGACCGGTTCCCGCTCACTGGCTGAGCGAGGCACGGGAGCAAC